GTCTGTGGCTTGTTCACGGAAGCTTTCGGACTCTCAGATCTGGCCTAATCCTGATTTGTGACTATGGGCTTTGTTAGATGACTTAGTGTGGCTGATGTAACGCACCCGCAGCACTTTGTGTGTGTTGCTGGCAGCAGATGGTGGAGTGCAGTTACCACAGAGAGTGCAGTGGACACGGGAGAGACGGAGTGTGTTGACTGCAGCGGATCCTCTCCTCTCTTAGTGTCAGACGATCAACGACCCGCTCTCTCTTTCATCATGTTTCTCCCTCTGCGCCTCTCATTTCTCTGGATGGCTGTCAGTGTTGTCCATCACTGCCTTCACAAAGCCATACATCCATCCTGTTGTCACATGCTCAGATCTATGTGTGTGCGGCCAGGTATTTATCACCTTGCGGGCCCTCAAATCTGCTTGCATTCTCTGTTCTAGCATCCTGCTTTCTCAAATCAAGTCATGAGGAAAACAGGTATAATTTGGTCAAGAGCCCTTACAATTGCTTCAAAACCTCTCTTGCAGTGCCATTGTTCATCTTGCAAACACATTTCCTGCATCCAAATTATTAACTGAATTTTGTTATGCTTTAATTATCTGTGGCACCAAAATGTAATTGAAAATAATTTAAAAAATAAAAATTGTCTATGCAAAATCTTTCCAAGTATTTAAAAAAAAAAAGCCAATAGTCCTGTGATCAGAATTCCAGTTAAAAAAACATCAAATAAGCAGGCAGTTTTTCTATTAAGTTCTTAGAGTTATTTGTATACAATGGTTTTTTTTTTTAAACTTAAAAGATGGAGAAATGTGTTTCTTCTTTCAAGAAGTTTGCCATCATGGTAAACCACTAGAAGGCAAACAACACACTTGAATATGTAGAGAGCACAGTACTGTCCAAATTGGCACGCGTATAAAGAGTTGTATTGTATAAAGCATACAATGATTGTTGTCGTCAGGCGAGTAGTCGGTGAGTAACTATGGTGAAGGTGATTATCAGTGTCAGTCTGCAGCAATTGAATGAAAGCCAAGTCAATGTCCCCATAAGATCTGTAAACCCAGCAAGTGTGTGCGTTTGTTTTCCAGTCTGGTCTGTGTGCGATGTGCAAACTCTATCTCTCTCTCACCCCCTCCCCTTTCAGTGCTGTGTGTGAATCAAGGTCAGCGAGTATCTACCCCCACCCCCACCCCCACCCCCCCATCCCTTCATAAAAGGATGGTCACAACGTGCACATACTGCCACCTCCATGTACCCACTATAGCTCACTTTAACTCAACCAGTTTCAGTGGATTAATTACTGAGGAAGCCCGTGCGTCTCTGACCTCCGCTGTTGGACTAATTGAAATCTAATTGAATTGTGCTTGTCTAGACTAATGAAACCCCACCACTGAAACCGACAATATTTCAGCCAGTATAACCTCAGAACCAGTGCAGTTCTGGCTCTGGTTGTTGAATGGGTACAAATATGATCACATATTTTGATGCACAATTAGAGAACTATAGCAATAGAAAATCATATTGAACTGTCCTATGATCTCAGAAAAGAAAACCAATAACAAACTATGTACATTTTTTTGACTGATAAGTAAATAGTAATTATTTATTTTAATTCTATATAAGTTTCATTCAAAACAAACAGTTGGAGTTGGATGGACCAGGCTCACTCACTCACTCTTTCCTCCACATACTTCTTCAGTCATACTTGAATATGTTTTTAATCAATCTGATAAGTTGTTCTAAAGAGGTTTTAAAGTTGTTCTACATTTAGGCACATATACCTTTTTTGTGTTTCCACCTTGTAATATAGATTAGCATCACTCTCATGGAATAGGTTTTATGCAGCATGCTGTAGTGGACGTTAGATGGGCGGGGCAAGGTCAGTTTATTTACAGTATACAGCACAGTTCATACACAAGGCAACTCAAAGTGCTTAACTAAAAAGATCACACAAGGCATTCAAATCATACAAAAGAGTGAAGATGGAATCCTTCAGTTGTATGCACAGCTAAACAGAACTGCTTTCAACCTGGATTTGAACACTGTCAGAGTAGAATCCTGTCTCACGTTTACATGAGGACTGTTCCAGATGTTGGCTTCCTAAATCGTAAACACTGCCTCCCCATGTTAAGAACCGTAAAGTTTTTTTGCAAGGTGATAAAGGCAGTAAGTGAGACTTGAGGTTTTGAAAATGCATATGCATCTACAATGAAAAAGGCTATCAGTGTAATTTCTATTGTCTAATAATTGACTGTTTACCAGCATTATGACAGTCTTATACCTCTGGATTCTCTCTCTCTCTGAGCAGTCAGTGTGTGACAGGTCTCTCCATGAATCCTGCAGCGCTCCATCAATTAGACCTCAAGCAAATGGGCAAATGCTGCTCTTCTTCTAAATAAAGTGATCCTCAGAGACTTTTGAGACGTACTCCAGATTCCACTGCCTGTAAACATCAACAACTGCTATGGCCTTGTTTCCAGAATTCACACTGAGTGGGAAGCACCCCTGGGACATGCTTGTTTTTATAGGTTCTTCTTTAGCTTTTTGTAGCAGGTGACTATTCTCTTAAGGTTTGTAATTTGATGTAACCTGTATTTTTGGGAGAATATATATTAGCAAGCATATAGGGAAGGCGCAACAATGGGGGAAACGGAGGGGGCATACTAAGGTGGTATACTTGGATTTAGCACGGCCCTGTATTTGTAGAGGTCAGAAACTGGAAACAAGATTTCCAGTTTCAATTTGATTTGATCCAATGATTTTGGAAACAAAATCATTGCTTTTTTTAAAGAAGAAAAAATATTTGTGCTACCCTCGTTGGCGGGTAATTAAAAGGGTCTACTTTACAGTAGCTCAGTTGGTAGAGCATTGGCCTTCAGGCCTGAAGGTCGTGGGTTCAATTCCCACCTCTGAACCTTCTCCACCGACTCCCACTGATGACTGCTGTCGTTGTGTCCTTGGGCAAGACACTTAACCCCACTTTGCCCAAAGCCCCCACTGAAAGATCAAGGCTATGCTCACACTCAGAGAGCAGCCGTCCTCCTGTGGACTCACCACCTGCAGAGGGTCAGTGAGGGGCTGGTGCTATGAGACTTGGGTGGCATCTCTGACTGCCACCCCCCTGACCCAGAAATGGATTAAAGGGTAGAAAATGGATGGATGGATGGATACTTTTAATCACCCGCCACAGTGATTAAAGGAGACCCTTTTAGACACTAATTTAGGGTGTAAAAGGGTCTACTTTTAGACCTTAAATTAGACCCTAATTTAGGGTCTTAAAGGGTCTAAACCCAGGGCTGGTCAAGTTATCATTCTATCTGCATAGCTATCTGCAGTTCATCCAGAGTGATCATGGGCCTCTTGGCTGCATCTCTGATCAGTCTTCTCCTTGTTTGAGATGAAAGTTTGGAGGGACGGCCGGGTCTTGGTAGATTTGCAGTGGTCTGATACTCCTTCCATTTCAATATAATTGCTTGCACAGTGCTCCTTGAGATGTTTAAAGCTTGGGAAATCGTTTTGTATCCAAATCCGGCTTTAAACTTCTCCACAACAGTATCTCGGACCTGCCTGGTGTGTTCCTTTGTCTTCATGGTTCTCTCTGCGCTTTAAACAGAACCCTGAGACTATCAAAGAGCAGGTGCATTTATACGGAGACTTGATTACACACAGGTGCATTCTATTTATCATCATCAGTCATTTAGGACAACATTGGATCATTCAAAGATCCTCACTGAACTTCTGGAGTGAGTTTGCTGCACTGAAAGTAAAGGGGCCCAATAATATTGCACGCCCCACTTTTCAGTTTTTTATTTGTTAAAAAAGTTTAAATTATCCAATAAATTTTGTTCCACTTCACGATTGTGTCCCACTTGTTGATTTATGACAAAAATTAAAATTTTATATCTTTTATGTTTGAAGCCTGAAATGTGGCAAAATGATGAAAGGTTGAAGGGGGCCGATTACTTTCGCAAGGCACTGTATGATTGTGGTCCGAAGTTCTGGTGGAGGTAATGAAAATACATCAAATTGTGAAGATCTTTGTGTGACCCGGGTCTGTAGAAAACTCAATTTATATAAATATCTAGTTGTGACACTCATTACCTTCTCACACAAATGTCATGTTTTTGTGAAGAGGGTTTTTCTGCAATTTGAATGGTTAGACATATTGAATAAAGAGAAACACATCTCATCTCATATATCAGGAACGTACAGTATTTTACTTTTTAATAGTCATTTTGATTAGATTGCAGCCCCTGCAACGGATAAAGCATAAGAAAATGGATCAATGGATGGACTAAAGAATATATAAACTAGGGATACGAGTATCTTAATGTGAGTTTTTGCCGATACCGAATACAGGTACGAGTACTGCCTTGTGCTATCCCTGGAAATTCATGATTAAATCAATACAACTGAAATGTAAAATGTTTTATTTCTCTCTAACTATAAGAAAATGCTTTAACAAATAAACACTTTAGCAATTCAGCCACTGCCATTCATGCAAATGTATATTGTAGAGCTCCGGTGCTAGCTCCGGTGCTAGCTATACTCTGCGTAGTTCCTGGTGTTATACGTGTTTGTTTTGGAACCACCTCGTGACAGTCCGCTTTACTCTGGTCACTCGTTTACTTTAAAAAGCTGCCATACAGCCGAGATCCTGTCTGCTAGCTGCTAAACTAGCGGCTAAGCTAAGCTGCTCGCTGCTGTCTTTCTGAGATCACCATGGCAACATATGCTGCACAACTATCTGCTGTTGTGACGCTAATATAAATTTAAAGTGGTTTCCCGGAATTGGGTCCTATGATATGAGTATGAGTACAAGTTCACAGATACCAGTATCGGTATCGGTGCATTCCTGTTATAAACTATAGATTATGTTTTTGCAATGCCATTTCCTTCACTGCTCTTCTTCTCACACCTCTTCAGTACAGATATACCCCTGGGCAGAACACTGAAGGACACAGAGACATATTGTACTTGTCTGTTGTACTATTGTCTGTGTTTGTTTTCCCAGGTCCCCTTGCAACCTGGCCAGTCCTTTAAGTTCACCGTCCTGGAGACACTGGACAGGATCAAGGAGGAGTTCCAGTTCCTTCAGGCTCAGTATCACAGGTACTGTAGTTTCCATTATCAAGGACTGCATACTTTGTCACAGTTATGACAAAGCTTTAATCTATACACCAAACAAGCCTTAAAGAGACTAAAGACAGTGTGATCGACCACAAGACAGTATAGAAGTGTCTAGAAGTTAACGCCAGGTACCACAGTTTGGGAAACACTCATATACCCACTGAGCTTTGACTTGTGCTTATAGACATATTAATCTATTAATCTTTGTATGAACAACTGTTTACAAGCCTTATTTAACTGCAATGGACCCACAGCAGTGTCTCTGTAATAATCCTCATTGTGATTTCTTTAGGAGCAAGTAAATAAGAATGAAGGAAATCCAGTCTTTACATTTTCTTTGAACAGCTGTTGTTTAGAGTCCTTCCAATATAGACTTGATAAGACAATAAATGAAGTTTTATATTTGCAGAGAAAAGTAGTGGGTAAAGATGTTAAAACAATGGAGAAAAATGTGGGCTGGCAAAGGCAGGTGATGGAAACCTCCAAAATTTAACATTTGGGACATTTGATCTAAAATGTAATAAAAAGTAGTGACCAGTAGTGTGGCTTTCATTCTGCAAAACTGGGCTCATGTTTTGTATTAAAAACAATGTATAATAGAACAGGCAATACAGTAAGTCATCAGGCTTTTATATTTCAACATCAATATCAATCATTCAATCAATATATTTAACTCATAATACATACAGTGAAACATTTAACATAACAACACACATACAAACATATTTCAAGGATCCCCTCAAAAAGAGATGATCCTTCTCAAGGGGTAATCCATAATTAAATAAATAAACATGTTTAGAGAAGGGGTTAAATGAAGCAGGCACTTATAAACTTCCAACCTCCTTCAAATATTGTCAAAATCTCTTGTCTTATCCGTTCAGTTGGAAACAGGGTCTTGTCCCACCCCTATAAAAAAGACATTCATTTTGTGTTCCTTGTGCCTGTTGCAGCCTGAAACTGGAATGTGAAAAACTGGCCAGTGAGAAGACTGAGATGCAGCGGCACTACATCATGGTGAGTGCAATCAGGACATTTCCTAACTCTGATTTAAAGCCAAACCTCAGCTCCATGATGGCCTCTTCTGTCCATGTTACAATCAGACATGTGCATTGGTTCTGTTTGTGAGCGTATATATACAGGAGGCCTATATATGCAGTACACAGTTTACATTTCTGCATTCAGTCATGTCCAGTTGTGGTTCGTGGTCGTTCTTGATTCTATCTTTTATTGGCATAGACTGAAAGGAAAGATATCCACTCAGCACAGCAGCAAAGCATATTTTTATGGTATTGTGTACCTCATAGCAAGAAATGTTCATCATGACTTTTCTAATACAAAAACAACAGTGTCCTCATCAAAAGCAGACCTGGAGTGGTTTTTTGTTCGTCCCACGCTAAAATATGGAAATTCTGACACAAACATTTAACGCTGCTCCTTCTGTCTAAAAGCATGATGTCGTTTTACTATGACATCACACTATGTAGTTTAATTTCTACCATTTGAAACAAAAGTATTTTGGCAATTTCTCTGGTAAAATACATATTTGCTGTAATTAGGAGTCTGTAATTTTCCAAAAATGTAAACTCCTCCCACTGGTGGTAGAATAGGGAGTTACCGGCGAAAAGCATTTTTAACCTTTACCATTTATTTTCTACGAGGCTGCGTCCTCTAGCCTCTACAGCGCTGCTAAACACAGTAGCATGTTAGCAGAATTGGCTATAACTCCTCTGGCTGTAACTGCAGACACAGCAAAACAGTCCAAACGACACAACAGTGAGGAGGAGAAGAGGAAACTAAAGCGAAAAAATGATCAAAGAAGAAATCAAGCCCGGGTGATCATAGCTAGCTTACATCGTGTCCTCTGGAGAGACTTGTCTATGGGAGAGACCTGCGAGTGCGGGACCGCCTCGGACTATCTATGCTCGGACCACATTCGGACGCGGAACTAGCGGTAATCTTTCAGTTCTATATTTTGTTAGCAGTGCGTTGCTTTTGTACCATTATATCAGTGATTGTTGTACAGCTTACAAGAAGTTGCGCTCATGCTAATGTTAGCATATAGATCGCAAATACAACTAGATGTAGGCCTGTCACGATAACAAATTTTGCTGGACGATTAATTGTCTCAGAAATTATTGCGATAAACGATTATATTGTCGTTCTGAGATCATTTGCATCGATTACAATGATAATGCAGGTACACCTTTTCAAAGAGAAATAAACTTTTATTTTTAACGAATATTTAACGCTAGAACACAATAAATTAACAAACAACCAAAAACAATAAATAAAATAGACTCAGTCTCTTAACAAAAAATGACCAGGAATAAAACTGCCAGGACCTTTGTAAAGAAAATATGAAACAGATGCCTCAAATGTCAATAATTTCTCAGACTTTATGGCAGATTACGAGAAAGAAATACCAACATGTTGACTTTGTGTGGCTTAAGACAGGATCTCTCAGTAGTCCCACCTCCCCACACACCAGGCGAATGACAAGTGACTGATATGTGGGTTCACCAATGGGGCGTACAGAAGTCCTGCTGCGGTAGCGCCCACCGGAAGTAGCGGGGCGGGCTTTGATGCTAACAGCTAAGCTAGCGGGTTTTTTGTGTAAAGTTCTACTCCAAGAATGCAAGTCTGCAGCATCTCTGTGTTCAGAGACCTTCTAGAGACTTTATATAACAGCAGTATGTGTTCACGGAGGTGCGCCATAAGTTTATTTTATTGGTATGGTACGGTACTTCTGCATCGGCGAACACGCTAACGCTAGCTGCGCTAGTATAGTCACTAATCAAGCCTGAATGAGAACTCAGCTGCCGGGATATGTTCACAACTACTGTGTCCCCCATTGTCAATCCTGGTTAAGTCCTGGTTTAGGTCCTGTTTTGGCTGTATTTTGTATTTTTGAGTAATTTCCGTCTGCTTGCTAGACCGCTAGTGTTCCCGTGACCACTTTGCGGCTCTCTGACGAGAGAGACGGGGGAAACAAACAAGCTGCAAATGGGATTTATCGCGGCCAGAAAAGTTATTGAGAAAATTTTATTTATCGTGCGATTAATTGATTTATTGACTATCGCGACAGGCCTAACTAGATGGCTCCGTGGGATGAGAGCGTAGGGAAAATGAGCGAATGTGAGCGAGTTGAGGGCGGTGCTAAACATTCAAACCTTGCAGAAATGGGTATCGCTCCTTTTAAGATAATGTATCAAATTCTAAAACATCAGATTATAGTAAAAAGTCTCATTATCATTGTTGATGGCCAAAAAATAATGCCAAATATTTATTGTTTAATGCATTTAACGCTATGAAAATAATATAATGAAATCTGTTAAAAACTTATTGAAATGCTTAATTAATTTGGAAAACCATGTTACAACCCCCAATATTTTTATTTTTTCCCTGAATGACAACAATTTGTAACCTTGTGGAGGATCTCGGATAGAATCTCTACACCCGTGTTTACCCCTGCGCTGGTTCATCTGTTCCCAGTTGTTTTTTCTCTCGAACAGCCCGGTCTCCCTGTGTGTCTGCATGACTAAAGGCGCACATGTATCGTAAGCCTGTGTCTACTCTAACACACCCACCGCGAGCCCACCAGAATGCAATATGCACCATCTGCTGAGCTGCTAGCGTTTCAGAAACCTGGGAGAGCGGTCAGGATCACAGACGGAGGCTGGGGAGAGAGACAGCGAAAGCCCACAGATACAATAATGTGAGCACACAGGGAGAAGGGACTGTTTAAATGCAGTTCAGAGCAGTGTAGACACTTCTACATCCTCTCTTCATCAAACTAACTTGAGGTTACAGAGAAGCTTTTGTTATATTCATGAAGGAAAACAGTAGGGGTAACCTTTGGACTGTGAACATTAAATGAGGAGACATGGCAAAATCAGAGTCAGATTATGAATCAAGAAAAACAAGACATTTTTACTTGTTCTTGGTGAAAATGGTGACTTGGCGAGTGGTTACGTGTTGCTACATACATTTCAGCATTAGGATGTGTTTGCCCATCGTAGGGTACCTCTTTTGTGTGATTGTGACATACTGTAGGAAGCAGGGCTATAATGTCTTTCCCCTGGATAACAATCTTCAAACATTCTCTTTGTTCTGGCTTTAAATCCTCAAATTCGGGGATTGTTGCCAACACAGAATGTATGGCTTGGTCTACATCCATTTCGGCCGCTTTGTTTACAGCTGAACTACAAACGGCTGTTCATTGATTGGTACTTCCTGCTTCTGAGAGCACTTTGTGTTTCTAGGTGGCGCCAGCCTGACTAGTGAAAATTGGTGTTTTGGCCTAAAACTTCAAAAAAATGTGTCAAAACCACAACGTCATGTTTTTACCAAAATAAAATCATCACTGGAACTCATGATTCAATCCCCCAGCCTTACATTGAAGTCATTTGGATTATTTTGGAAACTGTGCTTGAAATCAATGTAGTTTACAATAGAATAGTATACAATAGAATACAATACAATTTATTCTTGTATAGCCCTAAATCACAACAGTATCATCTCAGAGACTTAACAAAACCATTGAAATCACCAACACAGATCAGAGAATCAACAGTTAAAACACAACAAATATAGAACACATTTAAGATTAGACATTCAAATGATTATAACAATAATAATTAAAACAATAAATAATGATGGAAATATCAATGTCCATGAAAGTCCATTCATGTCTCGGATCACTCCCTGTCCTTAGACCCTCATTCATCGACAGGGAAATATAGAAAACCTTGGGGAGACCCACTGTGAGAGAGGGATCCACTCCCATAGACAGACAGCCTTTTGTGGATGAATCCTTTGTCAATTATGTTTTGATTGTATTTGTTTTTAGCAAAACCTCTCTTCCAATGTTAAGACGCCAACGAACCGTGGTCCACATTTCTGGGGCTTTCAGTGTCATATAATTCTTCTAGTCGCAATTATGCCTGATTTAAAAACAACAATTTCCCAATCTTGCAATTCCCTACATCCCGTAAACGTCCATTTAAACTCTATTCAAGGAGAAAATACAAGATTCTGCTTGCACACAAGAATATACGGGGAGAGAACCACACACAAAGAAAAACTTCAGACGCCTTCGAACACCCACTTTCCTAATCTCTCCGGCACTCCTAGTTTTAGCCGCGGTCTTCTACAATACAACCATGCAGCCAACACCTAACGGGTTACGATCGTACATAGGCAAGGCAAGTTTCTTTGTATAGCACAATTCATACACAAGGCAACTCAAAGTGCTGAACAAGATAGCATTAAAATCATAAATAATCACAGAACATTAAAACGAAAGATAAAAATATAAAATCCCTCAGTTGTATGCACAGCCATAGCCTTCCCGGGTTTTTGAGACAAGTTCATAGATGACATTTGAGTTAACTTTGGTTGCATTAAATGTTATGGCCTTTGTGACCGCAGTTGTGAAGTACAGCAAGGAAGAGATAATACCAGAATCTTCTAGTGTTTTTTAACAGCTCCCTTGCTGACCCTTAGCTCAACCTGTTGGCAGTGAGTGGGCTTTGAGGTCAGAGAGAAGCCCTTGTGGCACATATATCCTCATCCATACATTCATACATACACACTGGGAAGAATTTCCTTGTAGAAAAACGGTAAAAAGCTGGCAAATATGGTTCCAGGGATTTCTCAACATGGCATTACCGTTGCTAATTTTAACGGTTAAGACTGTTTCACTGAATCACATTAAGCCTTTGTGATTTCAGGATTTAAGTGTATGTTCCTGTTATTTCACATGCAACAAAAACAGCATTTTAATGTTAATTTTGTATTATTACACCATATGTTTCTATATTCTAATTAGTTTCATTGAACTACAAACTACAGTTTAATTTTGTTTTCCTTTAATGAACACAGCTTTTCAATTATTTTTTAACATCTTCAGTTTATACAAGATAATAGTTGAAATCTTTTCTTCTATAACATGTTTAACGCAATATCATCATTTTAACAAAAGCAGGAGCTTACACCTCTTACACTCATTAATT